CATCCAGGTTGTGATGAGTTTTTTCTTTTCCCTTTTTTATTGTCACTGATGCTTCAGGTGTGAATATCTCATAAACAACAGGCAGCAGGTTCACTATTACCCAAACTCCAGACTCAGTAAAACATCATGTCAGTGTTACAGGATACAAACTCCACAGCAGTGGAAAGTTAAAGAAAGTCCATTCATAGTTCAAAGGTCGCTCAGCAGAGGATGATTTAAATGTTATCATTGGTCAGAATTAAAACAAGAAGCTTGAACTTTTTATAAAGATTACATTTGATCAAATTGTTTTTTGTTTATATATAGATATATTTAAAATTAATAAAAAATAAAACCTTTTGCTGTGCCAGCTTCTAGTTTAGTTTGACAGTGTGTAGAACAAACCTGATGAAAACTTAAAGTCAGCCAAACACATCCAAATTTTGAGGCTGGGAGTAAAAAAAACGAATCTGACTGAGCCCAAAATCAGCTGCAACCCTGTGTGGTTATTACAGTAAACACAGCGGTCTTTTCTCTTTATTTATTTATTTTTTCATAAAGTGATTTATTGTGAGCAACACAAACTTGAACAGGGGGCAAATTTTGTTTTGGCACACTGATCATTACAGTCACAGCTTGTTGTCTTTAACAGTCTCAGTGTTTTTCTTTTCTTGTTTGTGTGATAATTTCCCCAAATCATGCGATGATCATGATTACTGACAGTCTGGTATAAAAAGTAGTTTTGTTTGGAGTTGTGCAGGACTTGTCTTTGTCATTGTATCACAGAAAAGTGTCATCAAGATGTATTCATAGCCAGAGGCCAGCAGGTGTCACTGTGGAGATGGTTTCAGATTGTTTTGACACTTCAATATAATTCCTGCACAAATGCTTCAGTGTTTCACGAAGCCTCGCTTTGCCCATCGCTAGTAAGCAGGCACCAAGTGCTGTTACTGCCTGCTGCACACACTATCTTTTCTCAGATCGACCAAACTGTCCGACCTGTAGATGTACATGGTTCATTCCCATGTGTCAGTTTAAAGATATCTCACTGAGTGTCAGAAAGACAAGTTTGCTTCTCTTCTCTACTGCAAGGGAAAAAAAACTGCAGAATGTTTTCAGTGTCATCAGTTCAGCTATATTAAATCAATGTGGTGTTAAATTTTGTTATAAGAAGCAATGGGAAATGTTTTCATGTAATTTGAAAGCTTTGGATGTGTTATCAAACTTCTGAATTTCTGGAAATAATCTAATTATCTTTTTTTACTCACAATTTATTCTAAGCTTATAATTATTTGTATTTTACTCTAAACTTGAAAACTCGAGTTTATTAATTTTAAATTATGTCAAGGTCTGGGGTATGTGACACACTGTTCATGTGTTTGCACTGGTTGTTTCTGGTTTGAGTAGTATTCAATGTTGTTGTTGTTTTGTGGCCCTGCCAAGAGGAGATACTCTTTTGAAATGAAGACAAACACAGCAGTTGGAAATCTCCAGTTCATGTGATGTGTATGATGAAGATGATGATGATGATGATGATGATGATGACAGTGGTGGTGGCGATGATACAGCAACATAACTAATAATTTTAATAATACATTTTATTTAGAAGCACCTTTCAAGACACCTAAAGACACTTAACAATAGAATAAAATGCATAATAGGACAATGACAAAATAAAGAACAATAAAAATA